AAACAGCAACTCAAAGCGTCCATCTCTATCTGTTTTGATATGAGTTACCGACCCAGGATTTTTCAGCTTTAAATTGTGACAATAAGCCGGCAGTTGGGCAAACGATGCTTCTGGCGACCCCCTCAACAATTCCAAGGCATAACATTTGGCTCTCCAAGCTTGAGAATATGATATACTAATCTTGAACCGAGCATTCATGTCAGTCATAATTTCATGTCCCCGATATACCCTGCCATTCAAAAACATTAACTCAGCCAGAAAACCACCCAACACCTTTTTGTTTGCCTGTCTATGGTGAGGAAAAACTTGGGTTCTTGAACATGTATGTTTATCAATAAAAGTCCTAACTTGAAACATTTTGCAATCTTTTATTCTCTTTGCAATCATACGCCACGTACAGTTTTTGTCAATCATACACCTTGTTTCGAAACGATCTTTGCTTGATTTGTTAACTTTTAGTTGATAGCCATCTTCCACACATTTCGTATATAAAGCTATCTTCAAGTCTTCCTTTGTATCAAACAATCATCTTTCTTGATACGAATAACTTTTGTGTAACAATCAACTGCTTTCTTTATCAACTCTTCTTCCAGTATCTGAAGTAATTCTGGCATATTCCAGTTATACGCCCGTGGCATTTTCTTTTCTTCGGGGACTTTTTCTTCTTCTTTTCTTCTTCAGGATTATATGAATTACAGAATGGATGTTCAACATGTTCATTCACAGTCGTAACTTCCTCCTCATTATCATCAACATTACATTCTTCGGCAACGGCTGTTTCATCATCAAAATTCGGGTATTGACCAATATCAATATCATTACACGCATGGTTTGTTTCTTCTTCTGAAACATCATCAAAATCCGTGTATTGACCAATATCAAAGTCCGGATATTGACCAAGACCAAATTTCGAATACTGACTAGTACTCACAATTTTTTCTGTTGGCTCATCATCGTCTAACTGGTCAATACGAAAACCGGAATTTGGTGCTGAAAGTTGATTGGGATTTGGATTAGAGAAAGGTTGTGGGTTTTGAGAAAAACTTAGTTGATTACTACCCGCTACTGACCCAACAATACTACTTCTAGGTTCAACAACATACAATGTAACATCATCTTGTGAAACACTAATGTAAGCAATGAATCGTTCAACATCTTCATTGTCGGTTAACAAATAAACTTTACCATTTCTCTGATAAGATAGCCTAAATCCACTTAGGGGCTCTAAATTCAATTTATTTGAAACACGTAGCATTAGAGTTTCATAAGTTAACTTTTGTAAAGACAATTTTAGTTGAAGATTTATGGGTAAAGGCATATATTGTAAAACACCATTAACATTATCCCATGACCCTCCAAAACACAAATCTATCCAAACATGATCAACATTAGATGATTTCATGGTTGTAACTAAACAAACGAGATGCGAAACTAAGACCTGTTGCCGGATGGGGAAGGATGTCGTTGGATATAGGAACGGATGTCGCCGGAGAGAGTGATAGATGGAGATGGAATGAGTTGCGATTTAGGGATTTAGTTTATGATTTCAGTGTTATATACCCAAAATTTCAGTGTTGTGATTTACAGATTCTCGTTGCGATTTACGGATTATCGTTGCGATTTACAGATTCTCGTTGCGATTTACGGATTATCGTTGCGATTTACGGATACGCGTTGCGATTTACGGATTATCGTTGCGATTTACGGATACGCGTTGCGATTTACGGATACGCATTGCGATTTACGGATACGCGTTGCGATTTACGGATACACGTTGCGGTTTACGGATACGCGTTGCGATTTACGGATACGCGTTGCGATATACGGATACGCATTGCGATTTACCCATACGCGTTGCGATTTACGGATACACGTTGCGATTTACGGATACGCGTTGCGATTTATGTGTTCGCGTTGCGATTTTCATATTCGCGTTGCGATTATGGAAAATCGCAATGCGAATTTGTACTATCGCATCGCGATTTTCAAGAATCGCGTTGCGATTCTGGAAACTGATTTGCGATTCTGGGGATCGCGTTGCGATTTTTATTTCGCGTTGCGATTTTGTTGGTCATTTTGGCAAATCCAAAAAAAGTTGGTTAAAATCGTATATTATAACTTTTTTTTGGTCACTGAGGCGATTTTCTCTTAATTAAATCATTTGTCAGGAAAAATCGATGTGACAGTTAATAAAATTGATATAATTGCATATTTAGTTATTGTTATTTACATGTTCTATCAATTTAGTCTAAATTGAAACAATTGAAAATTTTATGATCAAATTAAAATTTTAATTTTAAGGGAATATTTGAACATAAAACTTATAACATTATCTACAATTTTCAAACATAAAATATAAAACGTAAAAGAATTTAAATTTTATACATAACACAAAAATAAAGTCATGGGAGTAGTTTATCTTGTGTCAATTTTATTGATCAATCCAACTTTTTTTCCTTTAATTTTGTTTAACCGACGGCAGCATCGATTTTAATGTTGGTTTCCGCGCACCAGTTATTTTTTTCCTTTGTTTTTTAGTTTTTTAATAAAAATAGTTTTGTCTTTGTGACATGTTCTCTGTCTTCATGACACGTTTATCTATGTCTTTGTGACATGTTTTTCTCTACCTTTTAGTAGCTCAGTTTTTTGTTGTTGTTTTTGTTTATCTTTTTTCTCAGTTTTGGATTTGATATCGTTACGACTGATCAATATGACATTTATTTGTTATCATGATGATCTTCTCTGCTTTGGACCCTTAGATTGATTTGGATACGAGTTTTGCATCCGTGGATAGTTTTCTCACGTCACTTGGCTCTTATTTGCGATTTGTCGATGGTCTTTCAGTAACTTCATCCCCTTTTGTGGTTTGTTTGTTGATATATACATATTTGTTCGTATCTTTATTTTGTTTAAGCTTTTTAGTTAAGTTTTTTTAACATTTTTTTAGTATTTATGGTGATTTAGGTGGCTAGTTTTAATCTCAATGATAATAAGAAAATGTCATAATTATATTTTAGGGTTACTGTTATTTTTATAAATCTTCATTGTAATTTTAATTTAATAAAACTATCAACTTTCTCTCTCTATATATATATAATCGAATTAATGTAATCGTCGAACAAAAATATAAAAAACGCAAAAGTACATTCATGATATAAGTTTTGGTATCCTCAATTTACATTTGCTATATTTTAAATAAGGTAAATTACATGTTTAATATTTAAATTATCAGTTTTAGTCTATTTTAGTATTTATACTTTTAAGTTTTTTAAAACTATACTTAACATTTAGTTTTTGTTTCATTTTAGTACCTCATCGTTAAAAACTTAATGGTACTACATTTTTAATGGATTTTATTAATAATTTTGTGACATGACATTTTTATTATTATTTTATTAATATATGATTAAAAATAAAAAATTAAATTTGAAAATTATAGTGATTAAATCAGGAGTAATTTAAAAGTTAAGTAATTAAATTAAAAAAAAATCAAACTTTAGTGATCAAAATAGGAGTGAGAAGATAGTTGAGTGAAGAATTATATAATTTACTCATAAAAGAGGTGCCACGTTAGATCACCTGTTAAGGTTTTAACAACAAGGTACAAAAGCGAAACAAAAAACAACCGTTAAATATGATTTTGAAAAAAAATGAAAATTTAAGTACTAAAACTTTCAAAACTGGTAGTTTAGATACTAAATTTATAATTTACCCTCTTAATTACACATTTTAAAATAACGTGGCAACTTATAGTGTGAAATGTTTAATGCATGGACCGACTTTGTGACTTTGGAATTGGTCCAAATGGACATAATATAATATATATATATTAAGAGAATAGATACACGCAAAGCATACCCAATATTTATGTGATTTCTTATAGTCATGAACTAAAGAAAATGGTCGGCATAGCCTTGTATAGTATATGAATTATGTGTGGCTAATATATACACATATATTGATAATTATAGACATTTCTTAATTTTTTTTATTTTTTCGATTAATATGAGATAAGTAAAATATATTATATATTCAAAGATAACTCTTAACCATTTAACATATCCTTGACATTTCTGATATTCGAACCCGAGATCTCGAAAAATAACAATGATTCTTTTATCATCTAAGTTGCTTGGTAGTACGACATTTCTTAGTTTAATGTTCATCTTATTGGTGCTTGTAATTGTGGGGTATTAGAGTACAAACTTATTGTCATTTCATTACCTATGCTCATCATATAAGATTTGGAAATTAGATCACATAATTCATTTTTTTAACTATTTATGACCAATTTTCAATAATAATAAATATTTAAAATTAATAAAACAGTGATAAAAAATTATAGATAATAAATTTAATCCATTGAAACTTTCTTTTTTTTAAAGATAACAACATTTTATATCTTAGAGTGCATTGGGGCTGTATACGTTGTATTCTTCCTGGGAAATTGGTGTTCTTATCTTGGACACTTGTCCGCTTTTCTATATATATATATATATATATATATATATATATATATATATATATATATATATATATATATATTAAGAGTGCTTATCGAGCGAGTTGGACAGTATTTAACTTGTGCTCGTTAAAAAATTTTGTTGCTCGACTTCGTTGCTCATTAAGTTCGTTGCTCGTTAAGCTCGATGCTTTTCTCTTTGTTCGTTAAGCTCACTGAAATGTATAACTTATCTTAATTATAGGTAAAATCTATTAATACTATATAGAGCTTAATATAAACATAAATTAATAAATTTAACCAAAAAAATTACCAAAAGAACGTATGTCAAGGGTCATAGTTTGAGGTTGAATTTGAGATGTTCAAAATTTTGGGAACTAATTTAGAATGAGAGTCGTAGTTTAGGGATGAAATTAAAATGTTCAAAATTTTAGGCACCAATTTAAAATAAAAGTCATAGTTTGGGGTTATATGTTGCAATTAACTCACAAAAGTAATATGGAAACTATTAGTAGAACATATGCTTACACTTGTGGAATTCTTCAAGCTTGACCAAAATACATACATAAAATGACATTTAGACATTGTCCAAATACATTGCAAGTTTTAGGGTTCTTTATAACATAGTAAACGAGTAACATAATCTTACACAATTCGCGACCGAGTTAAGTTGATGTTGAATGACGATCGAGATCTCAGATTCGAACAACTAGCTACCAACAACATATGTTTCTTATATTAATCCATGGAGTTTCTTCTCATACTTTTCTGTCCTTGTCTCCGGAGGAGTTCTGTAATATGAGGGCACAGTTAGAGGGAAGAACATCTGTCTCACTCCTTCAGACTGTATAAAAGGAAGAACAATGCTTGATCCAACCTGAAACACAAAAAATACAAAAATGGTATTGGTAATCCATATATTTATATCATGTTTGCGGTTCGTTCCGCATAAAATCGTACGTCCATTCCTCTGTTTAGTAGGAAAACTGACCCAAAGGAGTTTAGCTGCATTCCACAGGCGTTTGGGAGAAGGAAACGGGAGTAACAATCGGCAAACACCGTATATCGCCATGGCCAAGAGATGAAACGCCAAGCTTAACGGCCGAGGCGATAAACCGGAGTGCACCGCCGATAGTCCATGTGCAAACACACCGAGTCTCAGATACCCTAAACATGACTGCTGAATGTGCTCGATCGCAGGATCAGACGAGGCGCTGAACATCTTCTGCATGACATTAGCCAGCGTGTTTATTGTAGATGACATCGGCTGCAAGATTAGAGCATTTTCTTCATTGTCCTTCACTTTCAAAATGCATATCAAACATGAAATTGCAGTAGTACCTTCCTCAGGACGTAAAAGGATTCGAGATATTCGTACGTCGATGATGCGTCGGATAGGTCGTGCAACGGTCTCAGAAGATCCCTGAGTAAAACAACATCCGATAACGCGACAGTCATTCCACCGCCGGTCAAAGCGTGCCGCATATTGAGTGCATCGCCGATCAGAAGTGCACCGGGAGTCGGTCGCGGACGAGCAGCCATGATTTTGTTTGCCATTACTCTTATGTTATCCTTCTCCTCTATTGCAGTTACAAAGGCGGTGCGCAGTTCTGGTATAACCTGAAATGTATGAACCATATTGTTAATCCAATCCGCAGATTCACCCAAATTCACCTGATGAATCAATTAGAGTAAGATCCAAATACCTTGGCAGCTACCAGGTTCTTCAAGTAATGGCTCATTTCACCATTGGAAAGAGAGGGTAAATTTTGACTAGGAACATCCACCATGCAGCGAATTTCAGTGCTGCTAATCGGATAAAACACTATAGGTGAAGGATCGGCTATTATAACACCTCCATAGTTTTCATTCGGAAGTTTACAGCCAGTCAGAACTAAACCAACAAAATAAGAGGGCACATCAACCTGCAGAAATAATCAAGACCTTTATATACACACAAATGGTGCTCCGATCTAGTGCGTTATTTTGTTGAGTCACCGACTATTAAAAGTTATAAAACGATTCAGATGATAGGGTATTGTTCCGTTGATTCTCCTACTATTAAAAGTTATAAAATGATTACACAACTATTCATATGTTCCAAAATCGTCTTTATTTATTAAAAAATTGATGGTCGTCTGAGATGGATGTTACCATGTTGATTGCAATATGATAAAATCATATTTTAATGATGTTTACACACCGTCATTTCTTTCAAGTACTCACTCGACGGAATAATGTTTCAAGCACTGACTCACAGTATAATGTAAAATGAAAGTCGATCCACAAAATACAACTCAAACGGTTATGGTATCAGATCTTATCGCATCTCAATCAACAAGTTAACGTCTGGTTCAAACAGCCGCCACTATTTTAACAGAAAAAAATAAGTTTGAAACACATGAATATATGAGAACTCAACAAAACAATGTATTATAGTCGAGTTATCATTTTATAAATTTTAATAGTAGGCGTTTAGGGTTGAGGGTCCGTATCTTTTTAATGGTTTTTAGAACCGGACCGGTTAGCGAACCGGTCATGCTACCGGTTCACTGGTTCAACCGGTCAAACCGATCCGACCGGTCGAAAGAACCGGACGACGTCATAATTATTTAAAAAATCAAATAAAAATACCAAAAATATTTAATAAAAAATAATTTTTTATATCACAAGTCATATTCAAAGCAAGTCATAACATATATAAGTTAAAAACCATAAAATCAAGTGAAACAAAATGATTCAAATTAACTACAACATAATATTTAAGATAAAACATATTAAATATTAAATATAATTATATAACTATAATTAAAAAATAAATTTAGGGTTAAAAAATCATTACAAAATGATATTGTTTGGTTTAATTTTTTTTAAAAACAATCTCACATGACTAAGAAACATAGAAGAACATCCCAAAAGTCTAAAGAGTAAAAATATGAGAACAAAATAATCTCACATTGCTAAGAAACATAGAAGCGCATCACAACTAACTTCTATAAATAATAGAGGTAATTTGGCATTCAAAATCATGGAGGCTTTTGGTGAGCATTGAGTGAACTATTCTTTCACTTCAATCAAGCTCGAATTTTAGGCTTCAATTGAGCTTCTAATTTTTTTTGAGTTCAAGCTTTTTTGAGTTCAAGTTTCAATATTATATTTCGAGTTTGAGTTGAACTTGATAATTTTTAGCTTGTGAGTTTGGGTTGAGTTGAGCTTACTTTTAAAGTTTTCAAGTTCGAGTCGAGCTCAGCAATACTCAGTTTTCCCCGATTTTTTCCGGATTTCAGTCGGTTCGATTCGAACGGTTTTAGCCGGTTCACTAATAGCGGTTTAACCAGTTTAAATTGAATCGGACTAAACAACGATTTCTGGTTGAACCGGCCGGTTCGATCCGATTTTCAAAACAGAGGTCACGGGATGTATATATAAATATATATATATGCTCAAAGCATAGAATTTGAAGCTTTTTTCACCTTGGGATTGCAGAGAGATCGTCTCAAATTCGACAAATAGCCGTTGCAGACGACGGTGAGCGGAGCGTACGCGGACAGCAGTCGATCACCACTCTTGTCTTTGTAGTGCACTCCTCTGACAGTCCCATTTTCTTCGATCAGGGACGTCACTGTCCCTTGTTCTAGACTTACACTACATTATCATCATACATATCATCAAACACATGAATTTTTGTGGCATCAAATGTTGAAATCGAATAAAGACCGAGACGAAGAAGATGAAATACTTGTGAAGAGATGCGGCTTTGTTCCTCAACCTTTGAACGAAACGACCATTGTGAAAGAGTCTTCCAGCCACATGGGACTGATAATTTTGCAGAGGAAAATTTATGGGGACTTCCTTTCTATCCTTGTATAGAACGTAACCCAGAATTCTCTGGGCATCAATCTCATCAACACAATCTGCAGTGCAACTGTAATTGTCAAAGAAACAACGATATATCATAACGCAGTCTAACACTAGCGTTGTAACGTTTTTCAAGATCACCGCGACACCATGAATCGAATCATAACATTATATCTTAAAATCTGCGGTTTTTCTTGTTTAATTACCCTGGAGGCCTAACTCAATCAACTTGAGGTATCCCCCCGGCATTAGAACTTCACCCATGACTCTGTTGGGCTCGTTTAAGTCCCTCTCGATCACTCGCACTCGACGTCCATCCTGCAACATGCAACCAAGTAAGTGTAACCTATACATATTGCGATGATGACACTATGACGCATGTATATATATATATATATACATATATTGTCATATTTGGACCTTTCCAAGAGAATAGGCAAGAGAAGCACCGGCGACACCAGCTCCGACGATGATGATATCCGTCGTCCCAAGAGCCTCAAAGTTTCCATTTTTGTTTCCACAATTCCCATTTGGAACCTCCATGGAAGCTGGTCTTTTAAGCTTTCTCAGTCCCCTAATTCTCACTAAAAATACAAGCTACAACACCTTCGACTCCGACTATATACTCCAGTCTCCATGATAACATATTTTGTGTAAATCACGTTCTTAATCCTCTAACATTTACCATCTTTCTGAAAAGATCCTAATTCAGTCAAAATAGTGTTCTGAATTATTTTGGTATGCGTGTTCTGACATTGACGATTGATTAACAAGTGGAGGATGCTTTATTTAATTCAACAAGTTACATGTCAGAATTTATACAGGTATGGCATGAATAATAATAATAATATATATTTTGAGAGAGTAATTAATAATATCAGCCTCAACCACCAATTCAGAGCCTACTTATTTAAATGAGCAATTTACGGTTATCGTCTTCGTTCATGCATGGCTTCTGTCGGTGTCAACTGGCTGTGAGTTTGACTAGCAAATGGCTTTTGCGTTGCATCAAGGGACAACCATCACCATCAAGCGGCTGCCACAAGTGGTGGATCCAAAAATAAGATAATATAAATAAAATTTTAAAATAAATATTATTAATAAAATAAGTAATTAATAAAAAAAAATTAGATTTTAAGATAAACATGATAAATTTTAAAATAGACATCATCAATAAAATAAATAATTAATATAAAAAAATTAGACTCTTCCCTTGGCTGCCACTGACTCGATTTAAATAACTTCTAATCGTGAATCAGAATATCTTATACCCACATCCATATCCATATCAATAATTAAAAGTTAGGGTAACTACATTATTGATCTCTTATTATTAATATTTTTTTAATAGTTTAAGAGTTAATTTTATTGTATGTCCTCAAAGTAGGACTCTCATTTTAAATTGGTCTCTAAACTTTTAATTATTTCAATTTCATCTCTAAACTATGATTATCATTCTAAATTAATCCTCAAACTTTTGAACATTTCAATTTCATCCCCAAACTATAACCTTCATTATGATAGCTAATGAGATCATCCATTCAATGTCAGAAGATCGGTTGGTTGGGGGGTATTGTTTTGAAGTTAAATTTTTCGAAGGCATATGATTGTGTTGGGTGGGATTTTTTGTTGATGGTTCTGGAGAAGTTGGGCTTCGGCAGGAAGTGGAGGGGATGGACTTTAGAGTGTGTTTCATCGGCTAAGGTTTCTGTTTTACTTAATGGGTCCCCCACTAAGGAGTTTTCTTTGAAGAAGGGGCTTCGTCAAGGTGACCCATTATCCCCGTTTCCTTTTATTGCTGTGACAGAGGCTCTTCATATGTTATTATAGGGAGGGTCGATGGGGAAGAATAGGATGGCTAGAGTAAGTTGGAGGAGGGTTTGTCTGTCTCGGGAGAAAGGAGGCGCTGGGTGATTGACTTAAAAACAAAGAATCAAGCTTTGTTGGCCAAGTAGAGTTGGAGATTTGGGTCGGAAAGAAAAGCACTATGAAGAAAAGTAATAGTTTCAAAGTATGGTAATCAGATAGATAATGGCCTTATGCATTGTTCGATGAGTAATAAGATGCCCTTGCTTCGGAAGGGTATTGTAAGGAATTGGTCTAGATAAGTGGGGTTGGTTTGTGGAAGATGGGAAAGTTATTATTTTTTGGATTGATTTGTGGTGTGGGAAAGAGCACCGAGGTGTTCTTTCCCTAGGCTGTACAGGCTAGCTATCGACGAAAGGATAAGTCTTGCAGAGGTGGTTCGGTGTAAGAAGGTTAGTGGGTTGGAAGAGGTTGATCATTTACTTGTAGATTGCTCGTTTGTTAGGGGCTTGTGGGAGTCCTTTGTCGAGTGGGGACGTAGCATGGGTTTTCAAAGTAGTTAGAGTCTTAGTTTACTGCAAGAGTAAAAGTGATTATTAAATCTAAATTTTTTAACTATCACATCGTCATTTTCGTGTTAACAATTAATAATTTGATTAAAATTATTTAAATAATTAAGTAATCTGATTGATAAAATTAAAGAATCAAAAATTGAATTAAAAATTTCATAATTAAATAATTATTAATGTAGTTTATCTTAAAAATTATCCTAAAATGCAAAGAAAAGCTTAATTTAACATTTTTTGTTCCAATTTTGAGACACATAAGATTAGTAGAATAATGACTTTATATCAATTTTATTATATATATATATATATAATCAAATTCATTTATGCTAATAATTCATTTTATATATTTAAATTTCTCAAATAAATGTTGTCTTTTTTTATAAAAAAAATGTTATGGTATGATTTAGGTAATAATTTTATGTAAATTTCCTTGAAAAATCACTTTACATTCACCAACAGATATTTTTCAAAAATAATTTTTATGCACTTTTTTTTTTATAAATTATGATAAATTACAAATTTGATAATCGAATTTTATTTTCTTATTTCACGGTTGTATTTTAAATCTTTTTATTTTTCTTATTAATCTTAATATATTAGGCTTTTTATCACTCGACTGTTAAATAGTTAACGACTTTAAAACGAGCAGTTATATAGATGCAAAACGATGTCGTTTTGATGAATTTTTTTTCAAATGATGTCATTTTTTAACGTCGTTAATTATTTAACGGCGGGGTGACCAAAATAAAGGAGAGATGTAAATTTCAGTGACCAAAAAATCTAATGTGATAAATTGAGAGAAGAAATTGAAAACTTTTAAAATTCAGTGAGTAAAAAGAGAGAGAAAGTAAATTTAAGTGATAAATTTTGTTATTTCCCCTAGAATTATTGCATTATATACGTTTTGGGAAATGTTTTCTTGGCTTCATAAATTATATAAAAAAATAGAACGTACCTACATCCATATAAGATCCCAATATTATAATGCCTTATTCGTTAACATATTTGTGCCATCTGGTACGAGATGACTCACTCTTTTTGTGCCATCTGGTACGAGATGACTCACTCTTTTTGTGCGATAAAAATGTAACAGAGGTACTTGTATTTTTTTAAAATGAATCAATATAGTCATCGTGTTATTTTTTCTGTTATCTAATGTGACTCTTTAATTAATATTTTTTATCGTTCATTATTTCAATACTAATTTGTCAGTTTACGATACTGACGTGACGGTCGACATTTTATCTGTCATGTTAGAGTTACTCTATCACACTAGAATGTTATGTCGTCACCATGAACTATCACATCAACATCGAGAATTGTTATGCCAATATCTTAATGGTCAACAACAAAAAATATTAGTTAAAAGTTCACATTTACTTTATTTTTTAAACTGAATGATAATATAAAAGAAAAAAATAATACTATAATCACATTGATTTTTTTTCTTCAAAAGTCCAAGGATCTCCCTTTTTGTCTTGTACAAAATTATATGAGTAAATTATAAATTTGGTAGCTAAACTTTCATACGATTCTCACTTTACTCATCGTACCTTTAAAATTTTCAATTTACTCACTCAAATTTATAAATTGAGTTTTTATATCTCTATCGTTAAACTTCTCATGCCGTTATGATATGCCTTAAAGAAATAATTATTAAAAGCCATTGATACTATATATATAAAAACTTTATTATAAAAAAGAACTGAAATTACATAGATATTATATGGTGGTCGATAAATCCACGAAGTTTCTTCTCATACTTTTCTGTTCTTATTATTGGCGGGGGGAGTCCTATAGTATGCAGGCACAGTTAGGGGGAAGAACATTTTTCTCACTCCTTCGGACCATATGAAGGGCAAAAGAATACTTAATGCAACCTGAAAAAGCAACACATGAAGAACAAGTTACACATTAGTATCGGTGTTCGTATCGTGTTCGTGTTGTATAAGAACTGTAGCGGAGATACCGACCCAAAGGAGTTTAGTTCCGTTCCACAAGCGTTTCGGAGTCGGGAACGGAAGTAACAGCCGGCCGACACCGTATGTTGCTATGGCGAGGAAATGAAAGGCTAAACCTAGCGGACGAGGCCATAAACCGGAGAGCATAGCCGAGACTCCATGTGAAAATGTCCCTCCAAGTCTCAAGTACCCAAAAAATGCATGCTGCACGTCTTGCATTGTAGGATCAGAGGATGCCCTGAACACCTTCTGTAGGACATTAGCCAGCGTGTTGATTGTAGACGACATCGGCTGCAATGCGGTTAAATCGCGAACGAAATCACGTCATTTTCTTCATCGTCGTTAACTTATATGGAACACGGAGTCTAGCTTACCTTCCTCAATGTGTAAAAGGACTCGAGATATTCGCAAACGGCGGATGCATCGGATAGATCATGCAAGGGTCTCAGAAGGTCCCTGAGTAGAACAACATCCGATAGCGCCACAGTCATGCCCCCTCCGGTTAAAGCGTGACGCGCGTTGAGTGCGTCACCGATCAAAAGCGCACCGGGAATCCGGCGCGGGGCGGCTGCCATGATCTTGTTCTGCATCACTCTTATGTTATCCTTCTTCTCTATTGCAGACACAAAAGCGGTGTACAGTTGAGGGAAAACCTGAAACGCAGAAATTTATGTCGGGGGGCTACGGACGTCGGATAAATGAATCGGATTTATAGATGTACCTGAGGAGCCACCCGAGTTCTCAAGTAATGTGCCATTTCACCACCGGAAACAGAAGGCAAATTCTGACTAGGAATGTCAACCATGCAGCGAAGTTCAGTGCTGCTAACAGGATAGAAGACGAAAGGCGAAGGATCTGCTATCACAACAGCTGCATAATTTTCATTCGGGAGCTTGCAGTTCATCAGAGGAAAAGCAACAAAATAAGAGGGGACCTCAACCTGCAGGAAAAAAAATCATCTTTACATTTTCTCAAACCATAATATGCTTCACAATTACAAATCAATTTGTCACCTTGGGGTCGCTGAGGGACCGTCTCAAATTCGAGAAACAACCGTCGCAGACGACAGTGAGCGGCGCGTAAGCCGTCAGCAGTCGACCACTCTTGTCCTTGTAGTGCACTCCTTTGACAGTCCCATTTTCTTCAACCAAAGATGTCACAGTCCCTTGTTCTTGACTCACACTACATCATCATCATCATCATCATACATATTAATCAAACACATGAATTCTCATGACGTCCAAATGTCGAAATCGAATAAAGAACGAGACGAAGAAGAAGAACTACTTGTGAAGAGATGCAGCTTTGCTCCTCAACTTCTGAACGAAACGACCATTATGAAAAGTTCTTCCAGCAACATGGGGATTAAATTGTTCAAGAGGAAAAGTTATGGGGGCTTCCTTTTCATCCATGTATATAACATAACCCGCTATTTTCTGAGCATCAATCTCATCAACACAATCTGCAAAAAATAACACCAAAACGTTATAACATAAGTCATCTAAATGTAGGGTTTTTTTTCTTGTTCAATTACCCTCCAGGCCTAACTCAATTAACTTGAGGTATCCCCCTGGCATTAGTACTTCGCCGACGAATCGGTTAGGCGCGTTTAGGTCCCTCTCGATCACTCGAACTTGACGTCCATCCTGCAACACGCAAGCGAATAAGTGTACGTATCGCGAATTTCAGAAGTTATATCAGAAATTTATAGATGTAACACATAAATATAGGGACCTTTCCAAGAGAATAAGCAAGAGCAGCACCAGCAACACCAGCACCGACTATGATTACATCTATAGTCCCACCAGCCTCATGATTTTCAGCTTCGTTTACACATTTTTCCCTTGGAAACTCCATGGGAGCTGGTCTTTTTAGCTTGCTCAGTCCCTTGAATATTACAAGGGAATTGTAGTAGTACAATGAAACAAGCCCCAAAAGAGAAGCTATGACAACACCTGCAACTCCAAGTACATTTTACTGCCCAGCCATTGATTTAAGAACAAGAAAATTATGGAAATGCACGGTGAGCATTTTCTTGGCTTTATTTATAGTAGGCTTGTATAACAGATAAGTGTATGAAGTTTTTATTATTATTTTTTTCAGTACCTAAAGTATTTTTTTGGTCTAATAAGTACCTAAAATTACCTTTTTAGTTAAAATATATACCTAAAGTTTTCAACTTTTTATCTAGGTACTTCAAATATTCTTTAATTAATATTACATGTCAACTTTTTAAAACTATAATAAATTTTTTTAAATAGTTTAAGTACTTATTTTGAATAAAAAACCTTGAACTACTTATTTTGGCAAAAAAATAATTTTAACTACTTATTTTATTCAAAAATATTTTAGATATTTAAATGAAAAAAAATATTCTTTTATGTACTTATATTTTATATAAGCCATTTAAAGTGGAACGTGGTGGACCACAATGGTGCTCTATCTCATTGTGTAAAATGTCACTGCAACCAAATGGCTGCAATTCTCTGCACGTTTTTAATCACTGTTGCATTTCCAGAACTATTGGGAAATATCTTCTTTATTGGGTAAAATACACCCCAAGTCACTTAATAATTAGTTGGTTACAAATGTCACATTTTTGCTAGAAATTATAGTTTTGTCACTCAATTGAAATACTATTATAAGCATGGCATTTTTCGTCAAATATTAGATAAAATGATAAATTATAAATTTGGTAACTGAACTTTACTCTCTCTCCTAATTCACTCATTGTATTTCGAATCTTTTCAATTTCCTCACTGAACTTAATACATTGGGTCTTTTTTTGTCACTCGGCAGTTAAATAGTTAACGACGTTAAAATGAGTTGTTCTATAGACGCAAAATGATGTCGGTTTGGTGAAAATTTTGTTTTCAAAAGAGCATCGTTTTTAACGCCTTCAACTATTTGACGACGGAGTGACCAAAATATGAGAGAGAATAAAGGCCAGTGATCAAAAAACCCAATGTATTAAGTTAAATGATAAAATTGAAAACTTTTAAAGTTTAGTGAGTAAAATAGGAGAGAGTAAAGTTCTGTGATGACATTTGTAATTTACCCTAGATAAAATAGTAATATAGTATGATATTTAAAACTTATATATTATTATTATTTTTGGTCTTAATTCATAATGAATTAATGAATCTGGCATTTCATATTTAAATTTTTTTTATCAATTTAATCCTTATTCTTCCTTTGAATTGATTATTTTTCTCACAGAAAAGTTATATTACTCTCCTGGTATAATAATAATTTAACAACTTGTAGCTGCTTTATGGTATAGTTATCCAATTGTTACTTTGATCCAGTAGCTTCGTTTGGTTTGATAGTATTACAAAAAGGACTAATTCGATATAATTATTACATATGAAGGGTTGAATTTATTGAATTATTTAGTACCTAAACTATCATTTTTGGTTTGTTTCAGCACCTAAACTTTAATTTTTTTAAAAAAAAATCATACTTAAACTTTAGTTTTTGTTTCATTTTAGTATCTCTGTTCAAAATTTAACATTAATTTTTGAAAAAAAATTGAAAGTTTAGATACTAAAACTGACCAAAACTAATAGTTTAGGTACTAAATGAATTAAGTTTTTAACGATGGGTGCTAAAATGAAACAAAAACTAAATGTTAGGTATGATTTTGAAAAAATGAAAGTTTAAGTTCTAAAACGGACCAAAACTGATAGTTTATGTACTAAACGCATTAAATTTTTAACGGTGGGTACTAAAATGAAACAAAAACCAAACATTTGGTATGATTTTTAAAAAATTAAAAGTTTAGGTACTAAAAAAGATAATTTAGGTACTAAGCATGTTAAATTTATAACGATGAGTACTAAAATGAAATAAAAACCAAACGTTAGATATGATTTGAAAAAAATTGAAAGTTTAGTTACTAAAATGGACCAAAACTGATAGTTTAGGTACTAAATGCAAAGTTTAACCTAAAATGTTTCACCATTATAAATCAATGGGTAAACTACACGTTTAATACCTAAACAATTATTTTTTCTGCTTTGATTCCTAAACTTTATTTATCTTCAAAATGATATCAAACGTTTAGTTTATGTTTCATTTTAGTACCCGATGTAAAAAAATTAGTGAAACTGTTGTACATGGCATTTGTTTGTGGGTAAATTACATCATTATCAATCAACTTTCTTCTCACTCCTATTTTTGGTCATTAAAGTTTAAAAATTATCAATTTAACTACTCAACTTTCTAATTGATCTTCTTTTAATCACTCTAATTTATTAATATATAATTAAAATAAAAAATATAAATTGAAAGTTGGAGTTATCAAATTAGTAGTAGTTTAAAAGTTAAGTAATTAAATTTAAAAAATTAAACTTTAATACCAAAATAGGAGTAAGAGGATAGTTTAATGATAAATAATGTAATTTACCCAAAAAAAATGTCACGCACATCAGTTCTGTTAAGTTTTAACTGTGAAGTACCAAAATGAAACAAAAAATAAACGTTACGTGTGATTTTGAAAAAAAAAGTAAAGACTAAGTATCAAAATGAGATAAAAATAATAGTTCGGACACTAAACGTGAAATTTATCCTAAATTGATGTTACCTTGGGGTAATAGAGGGATCGCCTCAAAAATCGAGAAACAACTATCGCAATCAATCAAATGTCAAATTTTTTAGATCATCGATGAAAAAGTTTAAATAATTTAAATATTTATTTTAACATAAATTACTTTAAGTATTTATTTTAATTTAAAAATAATTTTAAGTATTTATTTTGATAAAAAAATAATTTAGTTAGTTAAAAGATAAGTATATGCACCTGAAGTACAAGGACGTTTTGGACTACATGTCACTGCAACCAATGGCTGCAATTTTCTGCACGTTTTTAATCATTGTTACATTTCCAGAACTGTCGGGAAATATCTTCTCCATTGGGTAAATTACACCCCAAGTCACTTAATAATTAATTACTTTACAAATGTCACCTTTTTTTGCTAAAAATTATAATTTTGTCAATCAATTAAAATACTATTATAAACATCTCAATTGACATAATAATAGTTTTAATCTTTAAAATTTATACATTCTCTCGATTTCTTCCATTAATTTGATTTTTTTTCTGAAAGAAAAGTTATATTACTTTCCTGGTATAATAATAATAATTTAACAACTTCTTGTAGTTTTACGGTAGAATAAAATCATCCAAATGTTACAATGATCCAATGGCCTCGTTTATTTTGATAGTATCGCAAAAAGGACTAATTTGATAGAATTATTAAATATGAAAGGTTAAATTTATTGAATTATTTTAAATTAGAATTAATTAATATAATATATATGTTTTAGGGACCAAAAATGTTAAAATACCAAAAATATATTCGACGTTTGATTCAATTACAATGATAATGTAATATCCCTAAGGGGGCGTTATGTTCACGAAAAAGATTACTACTAAAGAGAATAATATTTTTCGGAATTGTATTTTTACGTTTGTTTCACGGAAAAAGATCATTATCATGTAAAAACGTGTAACCAATAGTAACATTTTTTTGTTAAATAGGTGAGAATATCATAACCTTCAAATTCTTAAGTAATATACAATTCCCACTACTCTGGACACAAATGTTCCTTGCCATTTCCGTACCGTCCTATATGTCATAAGATAATCCTATGTTAATATTTTTTTATTAATTTATAGCAAGTATAATATAATATTGGGTAAATTATACTATTTCTCATTGAATTTTATTCTCTCTCCTATTTTGTTCACCGTACTTTTAATTTTTTATTTTATTTTGCTCCCTGAACTTTACAGATTAAATCATTTTTGCTCACTCCTCCATTAACTTTTTAACGTTGTTATGACATGGCAAAAGCATCAAAACAACGTCGTTTCGAATCCTCTTCTTTCTCCCTATTGCCGTCCCCAACTACCACGTCATTTTTTCATTCCGTCTCAAAATTCATGGGTCAGTTCGTCTCAACTCCCATGAATCCGAATATGATGGTTGTTTCACCAAAAATCAATAACAACGATAATATAACACCCCTAAAATCAATTTGGTTTTTTCCCCGGTTTCTACAATTGAAAAAAATATTTTTTTGGTGATTATTTTTAATTTTTGAATCATTGAATAAGAATTCAGGATTAAATTAAAATAGATTGAAATCGAAAGGAATCCGGACTTAGTTTTGATACAGGATTAAATTGAAAGAATTGAGAATAAGATGGTGGCCATTTTACAAAGAAAATAAAAGTTTAAACTTTGTATGATTAATAACTCATTTTCCCTAAGTGATGAGTCATGTAATCTGTTGTCAGCTTTGTAAAATTTATCTTTTTTTTTTCTAATTTAGAAAAATGACCTATTTTGAGTGGTTTGGGCGATACTTCACTAGTGGAAACCTCGTCATTTTTGTACGGAGATGGGTCGAGTTGAGTCGAATTTTTGATTTATTCGATCTGATTTGAAAATTATAAATTCTATACTCAACTCAAAAAATATATATCTTTCATCCGATCTAGTTTTTTAGACAAAATCTAAACCCGATCAGACCTTAAATAATTTATTTATTAAAAATATCATTTTTATTCAATAAGAATAAGAATTTAATGGAAAGAAATAATATATGGATGTGTATTGTTACAATTATCCCTAACTATATAAGATAAAATTACAATTTTTTCGAGCCTAGTATTTTTCACCCTAAACTTGAACCCAATTCAACCCGAACATAACCTTAAAAAACCTGACCTGACTGACTTAAACCCTATTTAAAAAAAAAAAACCTGATAGGGTCAGAACTCGTCGAGTTTCAGGTCTTATGTCCATCCCTAGTCCTATCTGTCATTAGATGAATCCTAGGTTGATATTTTGTTTATTAATTTAAAGTGAGTATAATATAATACTTATTCAAAAATAATTATTTATTGATAAATATTTAACACGAAACAAACGATGCCAGTGGTAAATGAATTATTGTTATTATTTGAGATTTCAGGTTCGAGCACTAGGAATGTC